TATATTCAATCTTTTAATTCGCAAACTGAAACCGGCGAAGGTAGGAGCGCAGAAAACACCAAAAACGAGAACACTACAAGAACAATGTGTTTTTTAAAAACCAAAACATCCCGAAGTCTAACGCTGCGTATTTGACATTTCCTCTCCAGCGATACTATGGGGTTGTTTTGATATAATATTGTTGATCATGTAGTAATAATAATACATTGCTTTTAAAGACGCTTGCTAACTTGCTAAAGTTGCCGATGAACGCCAATAATCCTAATAATTTAGGCAGTCATTGGGAGAAAAATACCTAAGGCACATTATTTATAGCGCCTTGAAAAACAATCCCCTCAAAGCACTAACCCGAAGATTAAGGTAATGTAAAAAACGCATATTAAAGAGACAAAAAATTAGACAAAAAAACGCATATTAAAGAGCGTTTATGAGCAAAGTCAGCTGTTTTATTAGTTCTCTGAGTATTATCAAGCAAATCCCCCTTTCTGTCTTACTCTACCTAGTCTGCAGGTTCATGATTTTTGGTATCTCTTCTTTCTCTCTTTATATACCTTTGTAATTAAAACAGATTCATGATTTTAAAAAAAAGTCCCACTTGGGAGAGGAAGGGAGACAGCGAGGCCAGCCGGCGAAAGAATTGAATTAGTGCGCGCTGTGCCGATACAGAGACGCACTTAGTCTTGTTAGTTTAAGAGGATTCCTCTGTGAGCCTCGCTTCCTCTTGGAGAGGTTTTAATCCTCCTTGACTGTCAAATATAAAGGGAAGACTGGGGAGTCAATCTGAACAGAACAGGTTAATCCATTCCTTTGAAATAATGATACACAACCTGCAATTTGCACAGCTACGTTTGTTATTGACATATTTTGCGTATATATAATTATGGCTTCCATATGATCTATACATTTAGTATATGTATTCAAAACGTATCTTAGTATAGCGTGGGATGTATATCATAAAATGTTCTGTGGCTATCCTCTTTAAAGGCGCTATCAGAATCGTATGACCAAGTAACGTTTTGTATAGTCGATTAGGCAAATGCGCCATTGTGTTAAAATAATCCGGTTAAAGAAATACAAATGCTGCTGTGAAAGCTTCGGCCAATGCAAATAGAACATTTTAAATTGTTTGCTTAAGTGAATTCGGCAGGGTTCGAGATGATCGGTCCAGGCTTAACACGGCTGTTCTTTTTAGTTAGCGGTCGCTGGTACAGAGATAATCTCGAATCAGCAAGGCTCGGCGATGGGTTTGTGCCGCTAATTAAAACTACAGAACAACGTGCTGGAGGGCATGGACATAGAAAGCCCATTTCATCCAATCAGAATTCGCCTTAAGAGTATCTTATTGACTCTCCCATCTTAAACTCACAACAGTCCTAATAATAATAATAATCTTCATCATCACAAGAAAGTGCCTTCTAGATCATTACAAATCAACCAGTGCCCATATCTTCAAGTACGCATCTACGTTCTCCCAAACTCTGTCCCATCTTTCCAATCACAAATAAAAATCCTTGCCCACATTTCCTTTCTGAACTGGTCTCAGTCACATTGGTGATTGAATCTCAATCAATTGGCCTGTCCTCTCTCAATCCCAAGCCCATCTGCATGCTCATACAGTAGACCAGCCTGTAGCCTTTGGAGTCTTTGTCTGACTTTTCCAAATACGAGCACATGGAGATCGCAGCATTGACCTCTGTTTTTATCCCCAGCTAATATTTGGCTGTGTGGTTTCTTGTAGAGTCTAGACCTCTTAACACATTTCTTTAAAAAAGCTTCATCATCATCATCATCCATCCATCAGTCAGTCAAGTCAGATTGGTGAAAGTGAAGGCCACTAGGTCGTTGCAGACATTCTGCTACTGCAACCTGTACATTTATAATGAAAAGTTAATATCACATTTTAATTAATTTTATTAGAGAGAAATTGAATCACAGGTTTTTGAGTGGACCAGCAGTGGACAGGTGTCCCACCCTGGTTGCATCCGTCCTTGTGCCTGCTGTTGGTCAGGATAGGACCCAGCTTCCCAGCTACCTTGAACTGGAGGAAGCAGTTAGAAAGTGGACGGTTGAATTTTGACTGGCAGCAGTTTCATTTGTGTTCTTCCCTGTAAACTAGAATCAAGTACATAAAAGGAGAAACATCTACTGCACATCAAAATTAATCATAATTCACTTTGACACATAAAAAGTACCATAAAAACTGCACTCTGAGAGGTCTGTTATAATATATACCAAATAATAATAAAACCCATTTTTCCTTCCTGGATACAAAATAAAACTTGGACTGTGATGTCTTGCACTATTGCATAAGCCTGTGATTTGAATGCCCTCCTACAGAGCATTGTGCTCGAGGGAGCAGGGGATGCGAACACCATAACCCACTAAACTGGAGAAAGCGACCCTGTTCTGTGCAGAAAGGATGTTTCACCGTTGTCAAGGGACTACAAACAAACAAACAGGCCTGGGAGTGTCTTGTCAGGAGGGCTGCTTAGCCACTGAGGATCCAAGTGTCCTCCTTCTTCTGAGAGAAGAGAAGGTGAGGGTTAAAATTGTAAGTCTGACTATTTTATTCCTTGCCGTTTTTTTTTTTCGTTCAGTTGGTCTGCAGCAAGAACAAGAAGAAAACGAGCACGTGTGGAGAACATGGGGTCAGATGGGCTGAATATTTCACCAGGGCAATGTTTGCTGCCATTTTGTTTTCTTTTTTTCGGAGGGAAATTGAAACACGATGACTCTTCGGTGTCAGGTGCACACGTCGCTGACGTTAATGAAATGGTTCTTGCTTCATTGCTGCTATGGCAACATCAGCAGGTTTGAATTTCTTCTCAGAAAAAGTGAAAAAAGTCTCACCGATCTTGCAGCGCTAAATAAATCTCCTCTTCCACCTGCAAGCTCCAGTGTCTTACGTTATCTCCACAGATATGAACTGGAATGGATTTGATTTGCACTGGAACTACTGTTAGTCCTGCCTATTTCATATATAAACTGTCATTAACAAAGTCTATCTGTTTGCAATATCACCTTTAACCTCCAGACACGCAGTGAGATGGATCATTGTCAAAACACAGGGCTCAAGGAAGGAAGGCATCCTGTATGAGATTCCAGTCCATCAACAGACATACAGCAAGTACTTTAGAGATGCCAATTAACACTAACGGCCTGTGTTTTGGGAGAACATGCAAGCTCCTTACAAAAGGCACTGAGCCGAACCAAGGACCTAATAGCTGAAAGGCAGCGGTAATCTATCTAAATTAAAAGGCAGGGTGGAGAAACCAGACCAGTAGTCTCTTCCATTTGGATGGTTTGGATTTCAACCACTGTGCTAATCATTAAGCATTGAAAAGTCACTGAAATCCAGGCTATGAGAGCTGGAGGGATAAATTAGTTCCTATAGCAGGCTGCTCCTAACTTCACATTCGATTTTCAAACGAGTAACAAAACTGCTGACAGGCTTAGTAATAATAATGAATAATTCCATACATTTATATAGCGCTTTTCTGGACACTCCACTCAAAGCACTGTACAGGTAATGGGGACTCCCCTCCACCACCACCAATGTGTAGCCCCACCTGGATGATAGGATGATAGGATGGGTGCATAGTGCACCAGTACGCTCACCACACACCAGCTCTCAGTGAGGAGGAGAACAGAGTATTGAAGCCAATTCATAGATGGGGATTATAAGACCATGATTGGTAAAGGCCAGGGGGAAATTTGGCCAGGATGCCAGGGTCAAACAAAGTCTTGTTTGGATGGCCTCCAATGTTACTCTTAGACATCTTTAGAGGGGAAAAAATAAATGATTAAAGAGACTACCCAAATCCCCCATGTATGCATGCACGGGCAGGCAGAGACTGCCTGAGTTGAGCTCCTTCTTATTCAGTGCAACATGTCACATGCTTCTCAGTTCATTGACTCAAAGTCTCCAGCAAGTTGCGAGGCTGGAGGGCCTCCGATGATCTTCGGTGGTCCTGTATCCGTGTAAGTAAAGCTAGGAATCCGGGAGGAAGCTGGAAAGGTACGTACAGAGGATGCCATCTTTACTGCGGCTAATGAGAATCCCATGGCTGCCCCTCAGTGTGCCAGGACTCCTTCACGGCCATTGCATGATCAGGTTTAATTCAATAAGCTGTGCTGGGTCAGGAGGGTGCTTCGGCCGTGGTTCCCTATAAACACTTCAGTGATTATTTATTTTTAGCACTGGCGCACGTCCTCAGCTTTCAGGTCAGCGGATCTCCAGATGGTTTTGGTAAGCTGCCTGTTTATGGATTCTTGGAGATTGTTAGGGAGAAACACAGTTCCTCTGGGCTGTCCTTCATTAAAAATCTGTGTGTAGAGGAGAGTGCAGGAAAGCACTGAACATGAGCCAAAATGTTCGTAAAAGCCCAATGTTTCAGAACATCAGACATAAAAGTCTACCTCTGCATGTTGTGTATGTTGGGGCCTGTCTGTAGGTATAGATAAGCAGACATTCATAAGCACAGAGATTTGCAGTTGGCACACCACAACAAGTATTAAAATAAGGCAAAGGAACAAGTAATAGGTTTATTTCATGCTGAAAAGAGAAGAGAGAAAACACAATGTTTCGGCTGTGAAGCCATAAACCTATTACTTGTTCATTTGCAGACTACGCTACACACCTGAACTACTTAAAGTAAGACATTTGACCTTATTTATTTGCTCAATACAAATTCATCATTAAATAGCACTGCAGATGCTCCTCACAAAACACAGTTTCAGCTTCCAGTTCAAAACATCAGATAATTTTGCTCTGTTTTTTTTCTAGCCCCACGTGACCCCCAGGTACATTTCCATAAGTACATTTAAATGAGAAAATGCAAATATATTGTATGTTTTTTGTACCCCCTCTATGTCCCTCTGTTAAATTCACATTTATACCTTTTCATTTAAAAAGGCAAGTTGACAAAAAGTGGCTGGGGAGTGAAACAACAATCCATTAAAACGAGCATGCAGTCCTTGTGCACACTTGACGTCAGAATGGGAGCTGTTTCCCTGGGGGATCATATCAGTTGCACATCCTTTGTGGTGGTAATTCAGAAGCCTTTTCTTATTTTTCAGCTACGTGTACTTTTTAAATGAAGTAGTTGCTTGTGCCCCTGAAAAAGACCATTTTGGCACATCAAGAAATTTTGCCACAAGGAATAATTTTGTAACAGGACATGCCCCGGAAATAATTGTTTCTCTTTGTTTTTGCTTGGGCAGATTGGCTCTCCTGAAATCAGAAAGAGCACAACATGTCTGCAAGCATGCTTGTATTTCTCTGGCCACACGGGAAACAGGGGGCTGTGGGCACACAGCACGCATGGACACCCCAAAGCAAAGCTGTGAACTGCCGTCCACAAATTCGGAAACTTCACCTTGGTAAGTGCCAGGAATCTTGCCATTACCTATGCTTCCCTGCACACACATTATAACAGATGTTTCCATTTTTGACCGTCTCTCAGCCTTCCTGAAGAGCTGAGGCAGCAATAACCTTTCCTGCAGTCTAGCAGGTCTTCCCATCAGACCCCAGGTGATGAAATGATATCAAGATGGATTGTTGTTGCATATTTTTTTCCAAAACATTTTTACATGTTTTAAGACATTATCTGTGTGTTCACCATTTGCTTGAATTATTTATTTCTGCCTATTGGTCTTAAACTTTTTCCTCTCAGTTCTTTGCTTTGATCTCTCTACTTTATTATGTTTCCAGTGTAATGTACTGACGAACTGTAGTGACACAGCTGGGAGGCTATCAAAGATGTGAGTTCTATGTATTTCCCTCAATAATGTGTGTGTGTGTGTGTGTATGCCTGTTTGTGTATATAACTTCACATATGTATCGAGGATGTCTTTGTCAACAGAGACAGAACTATTTACCTGGATGTTGCCAAAACACAACTGGCTTTTTTAATCATTGATTATTTTTAAATGCATTACCGACTGGTTTGTTTTTCCTTTAACCTTTTTTGTATTTATTTAATTCTGAAGCCAAATTTGTTTATTGACTCCTTTTTTTGAACACATCTGGTCTTCTCTCTCTGTCTCTCACTCCAGGCAGTCTAGCAGTGCTTGTCATACTTACCAGCTGAATGGCAGTGGGTTGTAGAGCTCCCACATATTTCCTTGTAACAGAATGCCGAAGGACAGCAAACAGTGACTTTACCTGCCTAGAATTTTTGTGTCAGTTTTTTTCTGATCACACGCAAAGGAGGTTTTCATTTCTGCTGTCCTGTAATCCATCTGAGGGGGTTAAATCGTGAATGATATTCCTCAGAGGTTTGCTAAGCCTTTCAGACTTTTCTTATTTTTCAATTTATGTTCATGAGCAAAATGAAACATTTGCAAACTTACGATAATGCTAGATATTTTTTTCAGCATGTCATGAATTCACATTCTTTTAAGTTTTGTGATGTCCGAGCAATCCATGGCCATGTTGCTCTCAGTCTCTTGACAGGTTCTGTCTCAGTAAGTTATTTTTCTGTTTTTCTTTCTTTTTCAATCCAGAACTTTTTACCTGCCTTGGAATGTTAGCACACCATCAGCATTTAGCTATTAGTAGAGCACATCTAAAATGATTAATAGCCACACATCTGGGCTGTCACCCAGGCGGGTCTTATGCAGGTACTGTGGTGCAATATCTTTACAAGGCACAGACCCCTTCTACCACCACAGATCAACTGCAACTCCAAGCATCTGCAGCCCTCCGCAGAGTGCAGTTATTCACTGATTGCGACTTGTTGCAAGATGCAGGTGACTCAGAACTGAACCATAAGGCTTTAAAGATTCTTGCAGGAAGGGGATCTAGGGGGTTCTTTTAGCACATGAACTGCTAAATCTTAACATATTGCCCCTCTGCACTGGAACCAGGTAGATCGGTCTCAATGGTTCCTGTCCGGGTTGTTTGGGTGTTTTGAGGTCAGAGAGAGGACAGTCGCCCACCTCTCCATTGACTCCCTTCAGCCATCAAATTCAGCCCCCAGGCCCCCCCCCCCTCGTCCCGTCTGATGACCCCAGGAGGTCGGCAGCTGTCAATCAAGAGCTCAGCTGGCGTGCGTGCCGGCAGCCACAGAAGAGGGTCTGTGAGGGTCTTTAGAGGGCAGCCCGTCCGGTTCAACTCAGGATCATCTCTGTGCATTCATTGCGGATAATTGAATTACAATTACTCCCCTCCACCTCCCAGCCTATTTCAATTCAGTTTTCAGGTTCTCTGTTGCTCCTGTTCAGGATAAAAAAGGCAAAAGAGCACTTAGTGGGGGAAAGGGGACAGAAGGAAACCGTGCACATGTTTTAAATGTTAATAAAACAGCCTGGGCAGACTATAGAGGCTTCACTGTCCCAGCACCCTAATCAATACCGGACGTTTGACGGCCATAACATTCTCCTCTGTTTCACAAAACAGTGCCTTTTCAATTCTGCGAAGCTTTTTTTTGTGTGTGATACTTCCCCCTCTTCCCTGTGAATCTTTCTCACACTGACATCAGTGTTTGAAGGGCTTTGTGGAGTAACACAAGAGACCATACCCCCTATCCATTAGTACTGGTGTTTTGTCAGGAGAATTCTGATTTGCTAAAACTGTGCACAGTGAACCAAAGTACGACAAGGATGGTGAGATCTGGGATAGTGGGAGTAGGCTTGATCAAAGTGGAAGTGAGAATAACTGGAGGTGAGGAAAATCGGCACTAGGAGGAATCTTGGTTTGAGTGTTTCAAAGTTAGTGAAAAGTACAAAGCAAGCTTCTATTTGTTTTTCTTATTTTATTCCTCCCCCTAGCCTGGCTGTGCTGTTGCAGAATATTCAGTGGCAGGACTAGATTGAATTTCAAGGCCTCTGTGGCGGTGATTTATGTCCAGCCCAGCTGAAAAGCAAGTGGAAGTTGTGTTGAGACTGGGGTGGCCAGGCAGAGAGAGCCAGCTCAGTTGAGAGGACGAAAGAGAAGCTCCGGGGCTTTGGAACAGAGATATCCAGGGTCAGAGGTCAGAAGTCGAGCTTATCTCTGGTGTCTGTGCCACAGAATCTGAGGGTATAGGGGGACCTTCCAGGGCCAGGGCAGGCTGGAATGATTTCCTGAGAGGAGGTCATGGTGAGGACAGAGAAGTACACCAGCTCTCTGAAAGTGAAGACCCTGTGTGCAGTTTGTTCAGAGTCTAGTGAGCACCAGCGACCTGGCACAGCACCGTGCAATCATGTGCTAAAAAACTATCTTGTGCACAGTTAGTCCAGACGTTTCTGTACATCTAGAAACAAAAACTCCTTGATGACATTATTCCCATTCATTCATCATTCTCACTCAATTGATAGATAACTATTTTGTAAAAGACCTATATTTTATTTGCTTAGCAGACACTGCTATCCAGGAGGGCTTAAAGCTTGCACAGTCTTTAAGTTAAGTAGAATATGTTTGATACAATGTTGTATTGTTGCAAATTAGAATAAAACAGAAAACTGCAAGAAGGCTTGCACAATCGGGAAGTGCACTAGAACTTCTACACAGAGCTAAAACAACAGAAAAGTGGAGTAGAAATAAAATAATATCTAGCTTATACTTGTGAATAGAAAGCGGTAAGCACCCTATTGTTATATATTCCACATTTACAGTGAATATGTTGTTCACGTTGTGAATACGCTACTTACAAAGGGCACCAGTAGTCTGAAATGTAAAAACACTGATGCAGTACAGTGTAAAACATCCTGAAGGCTGGAGTTCAGAGCCGAGAGCTTACAGGTGCTGTCTGAACAGATGAGTCTGGAGCAGTGCGCGGAGTCGTGGTCAGGGATTAGTCGTTCTGATTTCTGCAGCTGTGTAATTCCACGCTGGAGGGGTGAGGCTATAGGATTAAAGGCCTTATCATCTCTCTGGTGGGAGAGAAGGAGCGGACAGGGTGAGAGAGTGTGTTGGACAACATAGGAAACAGAAGATACACTGGAACTGAGTGGCAGAGATGATGGCAGATGAGATCTGAGGTTTTGAATCAGACGTGTGAGGATACAGGGAACCAGAGGAGAGGCTGGAGAAATGGAAACCTAGGAGGAGAAAAGACCTGGCAAGAGTCAGAGTTCAGGATGAGATGGAGGTAGTGGAAAGTGTTGGCAGGGAGCTGGAGTTATATTAGTACCAGGGCCTGGACTGGAAGCTGAGCAGAATAGTTGGTAATGAATAGCTTTAATCCACAGTTTATGGAAAAGAAATTCAAACATGAATCACAGAATCACAAACGTGCAAGACCTTTATAGAAATAAAACGTCAAACATGTATACAGTGGAATAAGTGGGTACAGGTTTAAGTCACTGTGAATAAAAACAGCAGAGTAGAAATGATAATACTGATTAGACCATCATAGGTAGATGGACATTTTATAATGCAGTTCTGTGTCTTTGTAGGCTCTTTCTGACTTGTTTAGATCATTCGGTATATTAGATCCCATTGTTTCTCACAGCTCGTGTGTGGTGGTTATGGTTTATCTTCACTTGGGAACAAGCAGAGGAAAAGAACAGTAGATATGGTAGTAAAATCTAGACTAGGGAAACGCAAGCATGTCTTTCTATGAAGTTGAAATATCAAAGTTAATAAACATGAAAATGCTAATTACATATGCGAAAGAGTCTAGTCTTTTTAGTTTTATGAGTATATTCAGTATAAACCTGAATATTCAGTATAATGGAATACAGAGCCCTGCGCGTTTGTGTTGCGCTAACGTAACTTGTTGTCTTCCGACTAGTTAACAGCACAAACCGTGCTGGATAGATTTGCATATTGATGCGTCTGTTGTAAATAAATGCTCAGGTCGTGTGCTTAGTCCTTCTGGATTGTACGGTAAGTGTGTGTGCACCCCCACAATGGGACGGTAAAAAACGAATAATAAGCACCGAAGACGAGACCTAATTCAAACACGGATCAAAACGTCAACCGCGATCTCGGGTCAACACTACGAACCCGCTTCGCTCATTTAGCACTCGGTTGAGGAGCCGATGTGTTGAGGATCATAGTGTTGACTCGTCGGCTAAACGGGAAAAAAACAACGTTTTTTACATTTACAAACAGTAAATGCAGTAAGTCACAGCAAGTCTTCCGTTAATAATGCTTACATGGAGATTTACAACTTCAAAAAACGACACCGAAACGCTGAATGTACTCTACGTCATTACTCTGTGCTGAAAATACTGACTTACGCCAAGCGATATGTGCTCCGTTTTCGTTAGAACAAGCACGGTCAAATCGTAAATCGGCTCAACTGATTCGTTTTTATTTCGTGTTCGAGTTTCTTTTTTTACAAATGTGTGGTGGTCTTTGGTAGAAAAGTGAGCTTAACTATTCGCTCCCGGCGCGCATTTCCGAACAAGCATATTAGCGCAGCGCCTTGTAATGAAGAGCAGTCACCTGCACTGTGAATTTTAAGAGGCAAAACCTACTGGATTCTAGCTCTGGAGGCCTGGTGTCGGGCGTCCTGTGGGAGAGATGGGTGCGAAAGGCTGGAATCTGCCTGCCAGACACTCCTATCAGGGTTGGAATCGAAAGATCATTTTCAGCGACCAACCTCTTAATAGGAAACAATGAGCAGCTCGTATAGCATCGCTGCGGCGCTAAAATGTGTTTCTCGGCTTACTGAACAGCTCTTGTCCATTCCCGTACATGCAGCAAATAAGTCATGGGGGCAGCTTTGGGTGCTTCAAAAAACAAGAGTCAGATATTTGTATTCGTAGGCCTTGATGACTAGATTGCTATGGCGGATGGCTTGCTATAGATATAAATTTCTCACATAATA